TGCATTGCATTAGGTCGTCCTTCTGGTTTGGGCGGGTCGCCAGGGAGACAGTAGTTGGTTCAGCAAAAGTTGTTTCGATAGGGAATGAAGGAGGGATGTCCATGGTAGGAGGGTTCACGGGCGCCACTGTTTGAGGCGCATCCAAGCTGGGGATCCCATCCACAGGATGGGGGATGGTGAACTGTCTGATGCATACTACGGGGGCTTGGAGTCGTTCCCCGGTTGTGTTTGTCTCTGTGCCGCGTCCGGCGTTGCTGGAGGAAGCCATGAGTGTTGGGGTTTTTGGAAGAAGAGGAGGTTATGAGAGTTTTAGAGGGAGGATTTTAGAAGCGTTTTCCCACAAACGGCACCAATTGATGGTGCGCAATCCGGCTGGTCCTAGCTGTCAATGACCTTGCCTCTGAACAGAGCTGTGGGGAACCTGAAATGGAGAGGATGAGGAAGCTCCGGGGGAGACCCGGTGTCGAGGCTCCGAAGCTCAAGTTAGAATCCTTCAAAGGCAAGATGAAACAAGATAACGCAGAGTTTGCATACCTTGTTCTCGGGGGGTCGGGAGCCTTTTATAACCACCTCGCGCACTCACTTCCAAGCTCTGTCAGATCGGGCATGATTATTTCTGAGCTCCTGCCAGTTCGGATGTCATCCCCTTTGGCTGGGCAGAACCGCCAGTGCTCCCTTTGTCGGAGCCGTCTCTGCAACTGGTGACGATGGTGGCAGGAGGCTGTTTGAAGTGCAGCTGTCAAGCGTCAGATCCCAAATCAGTCAGGTGTGCCGCCCTTGGATACGGACACCCTCGGTGTTAGGTGTGGTACGTTCGGTCAGCCTGGCGTTCGGGAGGCGAAGTGCAGGAGTGGCGAGGCGAGGTGAAGTCTTGAGTTCGGATAGGGGAGTGCCCCGAATTGCCATGACGTGGGCCAGTTCGGGTCACTGCCTTGTGACGCTCGAGCTCTTTGTAAGGAGCTCGGGTCTCCTAGCAGGGAGCTCGGACTGCTGGTTCCTTTGACGCCCGTGCCTTGGGTGTGCTGTTTGTCCCGAGCTGTTTGATTTTGCCCGGTGGAGTGATTGCGAGGTCGGGCCGAATCTCCCTTCATCAGGTGGTGCCTTTGTTTTCACCAACTGCTCCATCCCAATTTTGTACTCGGGTGTATGTTTCTGAACTGAGATGTTCTCGATAGCAGAATAAGGAGCAACATCACCAACAACAAGAGGAGGTTTCACACAACCACATGCTCTAGGTTCTTCAGGCCCTGCAGCAACAATACCTTTGTAGATATGCCCTTCTTTAATCTTAATATCTGCCATAGATTGCTCGAATGATCCATCAAAATTTCCACTTCTCTTGACAGAGGGTTTCCCTACATTTTCTCCATGAGCACTTTCACTGTAGAAGGTGTGATGATTCTCTTTCTAGCAGATAAAGCATGGGAGGGGGGCATCAGGAACCCACATGGATTTGTTCGATCCAAAAAACGGGCAATGTGTCCTCTTTTCATGCCAAATTGAGAGGAAAGAACCAGACTACTTGTGCTAAGAAGCTCGGACAAAGACTTCCCAGAGGCTTCCAATTTATCTCCATATTGCATCAAGGCACGGTCATGCAGGTATGACCTTCTTCCCAGTGCATTCTAAATTAAAACCAGACAGGAGAAAAGGAAATCATGATCAGTTACTGTGTTTTTTTATCTGGAAAAATGTAAAAGAACCTATTCTTGTGAGCATATCATTTTCCTAAAGTACCAGAGTTTCTAGCAAGTAAAACAAGCATAATAACATGGAGAAAAAACATTACAAGATTTCTAAAAGGATTATGTGAGAAAGGGAACCGGAAAGGAAAAAAACTAGACAAGATTACAACTGAAACAACCAGACTTCAGAAACAACCAAAACATCAATGGTAAATTGTACTCGTGAAAAGAGTGGACAATGAATATTATATCAATTAATATCTTTAATTATAACCCAATAGTTAGATGATTCAAACTGAATGAATTCCTTAATGCTCTTAAAAAGAAACTTCCTTAAAGAAGAATGATACCCAGTCGAGTAGAGTTTTTCTTTCTAATTAGAAGTGAATGATGCTGCAGAGAAGATTCTTGTCTAAAACTCACAATCCAGAACAAGCGAATCATATATAGAATTAAGAAGATGACAGTTCTATAACCAATACTAGTTTCAAAAATTCTTTTTTTTTTTTTCAGGGAATAAACTAGCTTTTGCCAATCGGGTGATTGATAGAAAAGAATAATATACAAACATAGAATGACCAGTTTGTATTATAAATCAACCTTTTGTTGCTGGGTCATGTTTATTGCATCCATATCCTCCGAATTCATTATCTTCAGAGTAGGTACATCATCCCAGCCTTCTTCCAACAGCTTTGGAAGCAGTCCTTTCAGAACACCATTACCAACAAAATCCTCCATTGAGAAAGATGCCATCTTCGTTTCTTCGTGAAACAGAGAGTGAACCCAAATATTTGAACAAACTGAACCTTGCTACCGAAATAAATTCTAGATGTAAAAAAACCAGAAAGGCGCTGAATGCATAGGAAATTTGCAATTAGGAAACTTAAAGTATTTCCAGTCTTGACAATGTCAATTATACAAATATCTAGATTACTTGAGACTTCCTCTAATCTGGGAGAATTTTATATGGTAGTGGTTGAGAAGGTCTTCATGAGGGAATGAGTTGGCTTAAGACAAAGGAGTCAAGGACTTGCCGACTTGGCTTGTTTCAATTTGGCTAAGCATGCCAATTTAATTGAGGGTAAATTGCTGAAACCTCTAACCGTTGCTGAAACTTTCCTTTTAAGTTTGGTAATTGCAATCACCTCCCCTGAACTTTTTTAATATAATTGCAAGTAGACTTTGTTTATGAAAATCCTCTAATAAGAGGCATCAAAATGTCTATAATACCCATCCAGTAACTTTTGACCAAAATGTTTATTTTTCAATTTTTTTCTTATCAGTGGTTACCCCAAACCTTTCTAATCTCTTTTCCAAAATTGATTCATTTTCCAAATTTTCCCTTCATATTAATTGATTAAAGTTGCAATTTTAAAAACTCTTTTATCTGTTGTTGGTCATAAAGTTTGTATTTCTTTTCCTGTAGAAATCAGCTTCCACGATAACTATATAGTATTTTGGACATTTTTTTGTGGCTCTTATTAGAGGATTCTATCAAAGAGTATCTATTTGCAACTATGTTAAAAAGTTCAAGGGATGTAATTGTAATTACCAAACTTATGGGGGGAGATTTCAGCAACTTACCCTTTAATTTAATATAATAAAGCCAATAGAGTTTGGTGTGTATCAACTATCAAGTGGATTTAATTTTATTTTAAAGATACAAATATCTAGATTTTGATTGAAACAGAATAATTACACATAATAATTGTACCACCTTTTAACCTAAAAACTTAAACTATTAGTTTGTGGACTTGTGGACTAGTGTTTTTGAATTGCCATTAAACTGGACGGTTGGTTGGATCATTCGGCTCGGAACCATCCATGCAATTGGTTCTATTTTACCCTAAACCCAATCCTTGACCAAAAATCATTGAATTGGTACATGACCAGCTGACTTAGGCAGTTGAACCATCAATCCTTCCATGGTTTTTGACTTTTTTATTTTAATTATTTTTTATATTTTATTTTTTCAACTAAAACAAACCAATTGTTTCAACCAAACAGTCAAATCTTCAACCCAAAAACTGGTATCAGAACGGTTTCAGATCCGAATCAGTTTTAAAACCTTGTTGTGGGCCAATCTTATACATAATTGCTTTGACTCTCTTATCCCATACCATTCATTCATACTTGCATCCTAACAACATGTAATATAGTTAATTTGGTCCGAAAATGCAAAATGTTCTTATTTACCAGGGAGCCATGGTAAAAGTGGTAAAGAAAATTTGGTACGGTGAAAAAGTATTCATGAGACGTCAGAAAAGTTTGTAGCAGTTGCTCCTCTTCATGGGTGAATTGATCAACTATTTTTATGAGCAGGTAGTTCATGTTGATTTTTTTACGACATAATACTAATCCATGAAATTGAAAAGATTAAATGTAAAATTAGATTCGCAAACAAATTTCTTTTAGATAAGAGGTTTTAAAACATGTCGGACCAAGATAAAATATATTAATATAAATTAATAGTGAGTGAAATAGGTATTAGGGTATAATTGAGAACTAATTATAAGATTTAGAGAATGGAGATATATCACCATATCAATTCAACCTCTCTCATTATAAAGTGATGTATTTGGGAACATCTCCTGATGATGTTTCCAATACACGACTGGAACATGCTGTGGGACGTTATGGCCCCCTTGTGGGGGGTTGATTTGAACTAGTGATCATAGGACCAACAATGTTGTGTAGAGCTGATGAGTGTTGAACAGTTGGAGAAACAATTTCTTCTAGCCAGCGGGGCGGAGSTGGGATTTCCGGCATGGCAGCAGCTGTGGGCCCTCACAGATGCGCAGGCTGGTAGATGCGCYCGGCGCGAGTCACGTCATTGATCGATCGGCTGCAGCATGGCTCTGCTGCTAATTGTGCCGCCGCGACGTGTCCTAGGCCGCGTCAAAGKCAGCACAGGCTTGGCACGCTCCAGGGTTAGGACTGCAGCTGTGCATGGTTCCGGATTACAGGGCTCGACTCTTGGTCACG